GGTTGCTGACTCGACACCACTCCCGGCGCTGCTGCCCGGGCGCGCGGAGAGAGGAAGCGGGAAACCGCGTCGGGAATCCCGGGCGACGTGGAGCCGGACGGACGCAGCGGCTCTGGTTGCGGGGCGGGTGCAGTGAGCCCAGCCGCCGCGGACGGGCTGGGCTTCTGGCAGAGTAGCACCTCCCACCCACACCTGATGAGGTTTTCTTAATGCGCCCAAGATGAATAAACGATCCGAGCACCCCCTTACACACACACACATACACACACACACACGCACACACCTCCCTGGAAGTGCGTGCAAAAGCAGTTCCTGGCCGATGGGGAGGCCGCCTCCTGCGGCTGCTTTGGGGTCTAGGCTGACGCTGCGGGGCAGGGGAGCCAGGCGTGTGTGCGAGGGCGGGAGTCTGTGGACCTGAGGAGCCACCTGCCCTTGGAGTTCCTGAAAGACATGCTGGTGAAGCAGGGGACCTTGTGCCATTGGACCCGGCAGACACCCCCAAGCCGATTCATGATCACTTACCTTTTTAAAAAGTACTGCCTTTAAATGGAGATGTAGGCAAAGACACACATGTCACCAGGCAACTGACTGACTAAAAGGTAAAATTTAAAACGATTCGGGCTGGTGTCCCAAATGATGTTGCTGACTTCTTCCCTGGGGAAGAGAGGCACCTGTGTCCCTCTAGCTCAGGTGCAGTATGGGAGCTGCCTGGGGGGCAGGGAGAGGAAGCAAAGAGTGAAGAGTCGGCCTCAGCATGGCTCATGCTGATGGAACAAAACCTCAATTCTTACCTCTCCCCAGATTTCCTGGTGGAAAGTGGAAACCTGAAGGATGTTTGTATTTACAATTTCCAAGACTGAGGCTGCGGAATGCGCCTCCTAAGATGCCTCCCTGGCCCTGTGTAATTGGTGCGGATGGTGGCCCCAGCCTTCTCTTGACCGGCAGCAGTCCCCACAGAGATGAAGTTTTCCAGGGATCCAATTTATTCACAGGTGGAGAGCCTAACGGGACACTGAACAGACTGCAGAAAGCACACGATGACTGAATCGGGAAGCCTCTGGGACTCGGTGCCTACCGAAGTATTTTGCACAGACAGGGGCAATGAATTATTTTGATGGCAGTAAAATGCGGCTGTCACCTCTTTCAGATATAACGCTGAGACTTTCCCCACAGGAAAGCTTTTGATCTTTACTTTGAGGGAACATGCCCTAACCCAGTAGTGCCGAATTAGGATTCCAACAATTGCAATTGAACAAAATACCACAAACCCTTAAGCCTATATCCCTTCAGCTCTCCAAGTAAGAATGGACCCAATCTTTGCCGTCCCTGAGTTCTGGGCAGTTACTGGCCAGGCTTTTCTGTATAGCAAATAAAAGTTAGCTTTCGCACAAAATGTGAAATTATATAGTAGGTGCTGCTGTCAGCTATATGAGACAGAAAATATTACTTCTCCAAGGCACTCCTGGTTCATTATCCCCCACACACACCCATTATTCCTGTGGTCTCTCCCTTCATTCGAGGCTGAAATCCAGTGCAAAAAAGAGGTGCTGTCATGCTGCAGCGGGGCAAATGCCCCCCTGAAACTGCATTCATACAGCATCCCCCCGAGTTGTCTCCATGCTCCCCAGTGCTTCTTCAGCTACCTGTCCAAATCCCCTCCACTTCTCATTTCCACTTCGCTTTAACAACTTATTTGTGGTTCCCTGTTGAGCTCATTTTCTCTCAGATCCCAAGCCACTGCACTTGACTAACCATTAGCTGCTCTCACAGTGAACACCATCACCAGAGGGAAAGAAACAGGAAGAGCCCACTGCACTGGGGAGCAGGTTGTATTAACCATCCAAGGAAGTTTGGCTGGTGCAGCTCTCACTAATTTGCAGTTTTACTGTGAGGCTACCCGGTAGCAGGTGGCAAGCACTGGAACTAGAATTGGGGGTGGGGTGGGGGTGTCAAAGCTGAGGTCAAGGACAAATGGTGGGTGCTCTTGCTGCCAATGAGCAGCCAGCTGGTCAGCCCCATGGTCAGGAGGAGTCACAGACTAGAGCCTCACAGCTCTCAGAAGCAGAAAGCTGGAGAAAGCTTTACACTCAAAGTCTGAAGACAGGGATTCAAGTTAGAGCTCTGTCCTTTATAAGCAATAAAGTCACTCTGGGACTGTCTTCTCACCTGTGAAATGATACTATAATGCCTACATTCTACATAATTATATGAAACTGTATTACTACGTGTGCTGTTCACCTATGACACCTTTTAAGCATCATTATCAGATACCTCCCTATAGAGATTAGTGTGGCTTTTTCTGACAAATGGGCATGACATACCTTAGCCTCTCCAGTGCTCCCTATTTGCTTGAATATAATTACCTTCTGGATGTCTCCTGTGTGATACACTAACACCATGGTCGGCAAACTGCGGCTCGTGAGCCACATGCGGCTCTTTGGCCCCTTGAGTGTGGCTCTTCCACAAAATACCACGTGTGGGCGCGCACGTACAGTGCGATTGAAACTTCGTGGCCCATGCGCAGAAGTCAGTATTTTGTGGAAGAGCCACACTCAAGAGGCCAAAGAGCCGCATGTGACTCGCGAGCCACAGTTTGCCGACCACTGCACTAACACATTAAACCCAAAGCTTCTCATTGCTTATAGTTTTCCCACAAACCAGCATTCCTATTGAACTCCAGCTTTTCCCTGCAATGGCACCCATATCCCCAGCTGGGAGCCTCAGCTCAGTGCCATCTCTGACTCCTCACCCCAAGGTCAATTAACAATACAATGGGACTGTCCTGAGTTCCCTCCACTGTAAGTTCTTTGGCGCAGCTCCATCTTTAGAACCACAAGGCTGGAAGTCGGCTAGAATTCAGCTGGAAGACCTCTAACGTGTCATCCCAAAACAGTCCCAGCCAACAGTCCCCAGGGTTCATCGAGCTCCAGAGAAGACCCATTCCCTGGAGAAGGCCACTCGGCCTGTTGATAGTACACATGATTAGAAAGGTCTTTGCGTTGAGCCAGAAATCTACCTTCTCATACTTTCTCCCTTTCTTCTTATTCCATTAGTGATAGAAACCATTCTTGAACTAGCTGCCAGGCATGGAGGATACAACAGAAAACAAAACCAAGTTCCCTACCCTCATGAAATGTATATTTTAGTGAGAGAGATGGACCATGAAAGACAGATAAATTATATAGCCTATCAGACAATGAGAATTGCTGTTTGGGACCACAAAGACCATGCCTGAAGAGACCACAGGACATCCCTTCAATCCCAGTATCTCCGCTCTATTTTCCAGCCCATAGGCCAGTGATGGCGAACCTATGACACGCGTGTCAGAGGTGACACGCGAACTCATTTTTTTGGTTGATTTTTCTTTGTTAAATGGCATTTAAATATATAAAATAAATATCAAAAATATAAATCTTTGTTTTACTATGGTTGCAAATATCAAAAAATTTCTATATGTGACACGGCACCAGAGTTAAGTTAGGGTTTTTCAAAATGCTGACACACGGAGCTCAAAAGGTTCGCTGTCACTGCCCTAGGCCATGAGAACTAGACACCCCAGGGAGGACCAGGGTGCTCTTTGATTAGCCGTGGGTTTGTTCCCTCAATAAATGTAGTTACTACAGAAGCCAGCCTGGCCTGCAGAACCATTCTTCCTAACATCCACTGGACCTGTGTGTAGGCGTTATGATATTTCAAAACATTTCCCCCAGTAAACACTTTACAAAGTGTTAATGAGGTGAACCTTCTTCTCATGACTGTAGAGTCTTCATTCTCTTTTCGTTGATCCCACTACTGATGTTATAAGGGTACATGCACATTTAGTGGTGAGTCCTGGTGGCCTTTTTATAAAGAGGAGCGGACTGTTTTCCTCATGGGTCTCACAGTAACCTTGTTTATTTCTTGTGGGCGTTTGATTCCTTTATAGGACCCACCTACCATGTCCTGAGCAAGTCCCTAGGTGCACCCGTCTGTTCCCATCTTGACTCCAAGGATCTGTGCACTCTATGCCAACGTCACAAATAGAACAAACACTAAAATTCAAAAATTCTCCGGAGCCCAGAGCACAAAGTGGAAAGGTGAAGAATTCCAGTTGTAATGATACACCACTCAAAAAGATGATTGTAACAATACTCAGGCTTAAAGTGTTGGGAATGGCACCGGATGGCACCATCATAGCGTAGGAAATGCTGAATGCTGTGTGACATGATGTTAAGTTGGAAGTTTTGAATGAGACACTGAGGTGAAACAGATGTGAAATTTCAGTGGAGTTGCCAGAATACCAAAGTTTGGGTTAGCTAAGAACTGGGCAGGTGGCACACACCTCAGAGATGGAGGGAGGATTTTTGTGAAGAGGATTTCTGTGACAGGAGATGTGCTCTGAGTTCAGAGGGGAGGAGCACAGGGACAAGGCTCACACCACTGCAATGAGTGGGGCCTCAAAAGAGTGTCCTGGGGAGCTCAATAGGGGGCCCCTGGGCTTGGCGGGGCATCACTAGTTGGGATAGACACCCAACCTCAGGAATCACCAATCAAGGAGATGGCAAAAGTGAATTGTGCCAACAGAGGGCATTTTAAGCATCAGACATGCCAAGAAGGCCGGAAGCCATCCCACAGCAATAAGAGCCCAGTTAGAGCGCAGGCCAGTGCAGAGGAGAAGGGAAATAGACCATGAGCTGGACACGGTGCTGAGGATCTGAGGGCAGAGTGAGATATCTGTTACTTTCTTTTTTCTTTTACAAATTGAATTCAAACTGCCCGTACTTTAGGGTACCAATGTGAGGGCTTTATTCTTGGCTCTCGAAGTTTCTGTTAGTGTTTGTCTTATCTCATTTTTTGTTTCTTTGTCAATAATTTTGCCTCTTGATTCCTGGTATCTTTCCCAAACATTGGCAGATACAATTTGCTTAGATCACTTCACTGTAAACTCTATTCTTTTGACAAAAAAATTAGTGGATCTGAAATTGGACGACTGATAGATGCAAGTTTGTCTTGAAACTTCACTGGTCAAGCAGTAGCAGAGGACCTGGTGCTTTAGAAAGACCCAAGGCCAGCATGGTCACAGGCAAAGTCGTGGGTTCCTGGCCTCTTTCCCTCTGTCCAGACGGCAGGACTCCACCAGGCCGTTCCAGCCTTCTCCCCATTCCCAGGGGGAGTTAAGGAAATGAAGCTGCAAGTGTAGAAGACATGGCATGCAGAGAGCCAGCTCCCTGAGATGTTTTCTTACGACTGAACAAAAAACACCTTTGTCTCAAACTTCATTCTTCCCAAGAAAAGCAGCTTAATGTGGTGCATTCAGAGGGAGTCGATGTGAGTTCACATTGGTATAAATAACACATTGGCTTCATCTCACCTGTGTTTCTATAGGATGTCCTAAAATTCATGCAAGAAGTAATTTTGATAGAAAACACAGGTTTATAATTAAAAATTATAAATTTTTTATTGATTCATAGAGTATACAGTATAGGGTTATGTATGGAATAGCACATCAGGTAAATGGCCTCCACGGCTTTGCTGGCACATACGCAAAATCGTGGTCTTCATTGGTCTTCATTGTCCCTGCTCCTGAGCCATAATTGGTACTTGGTAATGCTTATCAAATTGAAGGGATTGAAATCAAAGGGCAACAAATGTTAGAATCTGATTCAATAAACCAAGTAAAATTAGGCTTTTATTTGTTGTTGTTGTTGTTGTTGTTGTTGTTGTTAATGCTCACGCAAAATTCAAATCTTGCGTGAATTTTGGGACACCCTATAGAATTCTACATCATGCTTCTTAGATTTGGGAATAACATTTTCATAACACGCTATAGGGAAAAGGCAGTCAGATAATTCCCCACATCTCTCCACTGTTTTACTTTATGTCTGCACACTGGGGACTCCCTGTGGAGCTGTTCAGAGAAACCTGAGGACAGACACCCTTGGCACCAACCCCTGAGACCTTTGGTCACCACAGCTGATGTGCCCAATATGGGCCCAATTCTTGCTTCATCTAACAGAATATTAAACAACAAATATGAGCCCTGGCTGGTGTAACTCAGTGGTAAGAGTACTGCCCAAGGTCCGAAGGATCTCTGGTCAGATTCGCGGTAAAGGGCACATACCTGGGTTACAGGTTTGATCCCTGGCCCCAGTCGGGGCATGTGCCGGTAGCAAACAATTGATGTGTCTCTCTCACATCAGTGTTTCTCTCTCTCTCTACCTCTCCCCTCTCTCTCTCTCTCTCTCTCTCTCTCTCTCTCTTCCCC